AAATGGAAAAGGCTAGAACAAAATGTTTAGAAAATCTCAAATACCCACTTGTGATGATGGGTTTAAACTAGACAACCCCAAAACCAGAGCTGTCAACAGCTTCTCAAGCACCCACATGTGCCTGTGGATTCAGACACTGCAGCTTAAGCATGTCTCTGTTGTATATGTGGGCTTTAGAGGTGTCAAGACAGTGATGATCTAAAAGCGCTAAGATACTCCTGTATTACCACATACCATAATGGGCAGTCATGCAAACTCCATACCCGCACACAGGGACCATGACTGATGGAAAACTAGAAAAACAGCAAATTGCTTTGTTTGACTGTTGTGTGTTTTTAAATTGCATTTTTGTATTTTGAATTCAATTGAAAGGCAAATGCACATGTCAAGTTAAAAAAGTCACTAAAATTTTCTTCATTTTTTTCTTTGTTATTTCCTTAAATCTTTACTAATTTATTTAAATGTCATCTTCAAAATTAAAATCCATTTAGCCCTTACCAGGCTTGTCTTTTTAAATTACCTGTCACTTATCACCAAAAAAGTTTTCTGTTTTTAAATTATCTGTAATTATTTTCCTTTACATTTGCTGGAATAAGATGGCTCTCAAAATACCAGCAGCATCCTCAGAAATACACAGAAGACTACTTAGTTTTACTTTGTAAAAAGAAATGTTTGTTGAACATGATGGGGGGTGGGGACGGTGTGTTTTGTTTCATTCTGTTTCGCTTGAGACAGGGTCTCAATACACAGCCAAAGCTGACCTCACACTATACAGATCAGGCCTCTCACATAATTCCACAGCTATTACCTAGGCACCGAGATTACAGGCACATGCCACCTTATCTGGCCTAATGGAGTGACTCTATAATTCCCCTTTCTGTATGAGGGGAAAATGATGTAGTGAGAACAAGATGCATATCTGTGTGGTGCTTAACACTATAGAAATACATAGATATACACGCATTTATGTGCGTATATTCATGTGTCCACTGGGAAGCAGGTGCCACTATTCGGTTCCGAAGCTGCTGCAAAACACCACAGCAGACTTTCCTGGAGAGAAGACCACCCTTTAAATCTCATCTTTTTGCAGTGATATAACCATTTTCCAGCAGTTTAGACATCGGCTTGTCCACGAGAACAGGCAAGCACAATGTTCTAAAGCCCTTAGCTGTAACTGTGATCTTAAGCACCAACTTCATAAAAGGAATATGAAAACTGGTTATGGTTTAAGTTGACCATTAAAGAAGCTGAGGATGGTTGAGTACTTAAAGGCTATGGGCCACTCGCAGAAGGCAATCCCCAGAAACATAACAACAGGCCAAAGGATGTAGACAGCCCTCACTGAGATTCTCCCCAGATGGTTTTAAGTGGTGTTATTTTTGATAATTAAAGTTAACCATGACAAATGCTGTCACTACCAACTATTCCGTCTATATTGCATTACAATGTTGTGTGAGGATTAGGCTAAGTAGGGTGCTCTGGACCTCAGTTCATTGTGTGGTCAAAGGGATAAATAATACTACAGACTCCATGAGAGCAGAGCCCTCCTGATCACTGCAGGTGTCAAATAAATGGTAGCCTGCCTCTCTCTCATTCATGTGTTTCCTGAAAAAATAGCTTTTTACTCATCCCTTGAACCTTCCTTTTAGTATATACTGAAGACTGAGATTAATGCAAAGGGTACAATAAAGAGCCACAGAGTGATACTTCACACAAAGAGAAAAACAGTTTTCATTTTTTTCCTTTTGCTGAATGAACAACCCCCAACCCCAATATTGAGGGGTTCAGCTGTCACCTACAGTTACTTTCCTTTACAATTAAGAAAGGTGTTCGAATGACTCCCCAAGACTCTATCCAGAAGTAGGCATAATTGTATAAATTAGGTCTCTGCACATTTTTAAAAAAATTTCTTGTACTACAGTGGTAGCCCTACAAATGCCCCAAGAATTTCTCTAAATGTGCATTGATCGAGCAGCTTCCACATATGAAGACAAGGCTCTGATCTCATCAGACAAGAGGAGAGACCTAGAAGCCCCGTGATGCTGGAGCAGTTGAGGACATAAAACCATAAGCAATTGACAATCACACCAATCCAAAGCAAACCGGCATCTGAGCTCCCTCTTATTTTTCTAGGGAGATTTTTTTTTTTTTGAGTACTGAAGAAATGCAAAGTATGTATTGTTAGAAAATATCTGGGCCATTTTTTTTTTTTCCTAAGCAAACTTTCTACTACAACGTGACCTTTTACTTGCTTGAATTCTCTTGAAAGCTGCTTTCAAATCATTTTGGTTCTCAGTCACGTCCTTCTCAAAGTGAGGACTTGGTTGCTTCCTTAGCGTATGACTCATTGTAAATGCAAATAAGTTGTATTAAGCCATCCGGGGTGGATGAAACATGTGAAGTTGGGTTGTGTACAATGTCACGTCTACATAAATATGAAAGAATAAGAGTTTTATTGTTGTTACTGGTTGAAGATGGGTAGACAAGAGTACAAAAAATAGGTGCAATAGGTCTGTATGCATGTTTTATAAAATTTGAAGAGTTTCGGAAAATTTAAGCTCTATCGTTGGATGTTAGTCAGGGAAAATAAGGTAAAGTAAGCTTGTCCTTTTACATAATAAATGTTTTATTTTCATATCTAATCAATATTTATATTTTCAGTCCTTCTGAGTAACTGATGGCAACAACCTACACTTATTGGCAAGGCAGCGCAATAAACTCTGGGAATGAAGATTGCTGCTGGAGAAAATCGGCAAGCATCTCTTAAGTCTGCTTCCTCACAGGGTAACAGGAATAAAAAAGTGATAACCTGCATGTTCAAGGTCCCAGGTTCATTGTTACTTTGACATTAAAATCTTTCCCCCAAAAAGTATTATTAAAACTCAAAGAATACGTAAGTTTGTTGGCATGAATGTCTTGAAAAGGCAAAGAAAAGAACTCATAACTAATGGTGAAGGCATGAATTCTAATTTAAAGCTAAGAAACTATAGCTAAGTTTTCACAGTATTTACTTTTAATATTAAAATCTACCAATGCTACTTGTATCATTTTCTCTTTCTTGCTTTTCATGACTATTTTCCCTTTCATTTCACTTTTTGCTACCACCATTCTGTTTTAATTAACTTCTTGCTTAGACTGCTGCTAATAACTGCCTCATCAGGCTCTTGGCTGGATCCCCACGGAGAATCCACCAAACACAGGTTGGTCTTTCCATAATACACCTCAGGTTTATGCTGCAGCAAAAGTACCTTCAGGGATCCTTCCTGCTGATGGAAGAGTGCTAAACCATCTTCCCTGTCCGGCATGCACTCATTCATTTCTTCTAGTTCTGCCTTTCCTACTTGTTTCCCAGTGCTCAGCATTAGAATTTCACACAGAAATAATAGTGTGCAAAACAATAACCTTATAGTTCCTATACATAAGCTTAAACTTTTGATCTCTGTTTGGTAAGTCTCTCCTTACCCTTGGTGTGCTCTTTCGAATTTATTCATCCCTGGGGAACGGGTGATGTGTCACATCACCCATGCAGCTATTTCTAAGCTCCTCTGAATTCACACTCTTTCTTCAATCTTACAGAAAATCTCACTCCTTATATTTTATATAACTGACTGTGAAATATATTCAACTCGCTTAATATGTATTTGGAGAAGTATTTTTCATCTTTGTTATGATATGGAATCTCCTCAGAAGTCGAGGGAGCAGGATGCGTGGAAGTTTCATTTTGCACATGGAAATGCACCGAATGTAACTGACAGCAAGCACAGGACAAGCCTATGTATGTAGCTGTTGATCAAGGGGTTAAGCAACTCCTTAACATTTAATTTGTAAGTGATATCAGGGCTTATGAGGCTTTCGTTCACAGACAGGAAGTGGGGAACAGACCAGTGGGGAACAGACCGGAGAGTGTCTACTTGTCTGCACAGCAGACTGTGTTTCTGCCACAGTGGCTGTGGGTCTGATTCCTCAGCTGTGGGACATGGGTAAATGATAGGAGTGTTCATCCCCAATATTCAGTTTTCAGACAAACCTGCTCTGCTTTGTACACTGGCCTTCTTTTCTACCAAGACTTCACTCAGAGAAAGTTTTCACAGTTTAAGGAAAGAACTGAAACTTCTTGGGGTCCCAGCTCTATGCAGAAGTTTGATTCTATATTTGTCTCGGGATCTGTTCAACATGAAAGCCTTTCACATGAAAACTAGGTAGGTATCCTGCTGTGGTTTGGCTGAATTTACTAGCACAAAACATACCAAAATGGCAGCAAAAAGGAGATGTAAGCTAAGACCCCCTGACCCTCGCTTTGTTTGAGTCAGAGACACACCCTTCACAGTCACTGAGGTTTCTCATTGACCCAACCACTGGCCTGAGAACTCCAGTCAGATGCTCACCTAACAGCAGGAACTAGCTGTCAATGCGTCCAGGAGATTTTGTCACAGTGCGTACATGCGCAAACATTTTGGTGGTATTGGATAAGTCGTATGTGTGGCCTGATGATGCAATCAAGAGATGCAGTCAATTCAATACAAGATGCATGAAGCTGCTGACAACATAACATTGTGTGTTGTTTTACAGCAAACATTCTTACAAATAAAACGATAAAATTATAAAATATGGTAGGAATTGTATTGCACTTAGTAAGTAAATCTGCAGCTTATTCGTTAATTATCATTATCACATCCCAAGCACTGTAGATAACCAACCACAGGTGCTGGGTTTCTATCTGGCAGCCTACAGTATTTTGTCAGCAAGGCCAGAAAATATCTTATCCTTAATGGAAATTATCATGATCTGCATCTTACACACAGCACCATCTTTCTGGACATTCCATAGACTCAGACGGTCCCCGAGAAAGCTTTATATTTTTGTGAGACAATGGCAGTGGCCTAGTAACTTTCACAGAGTACACAGAAAAGTCTGTCTGACCTAAGGTAAATCTGAAACACATCTTCTCCATGTCATGTTATCTCTAGAGCTGTGAGTTCATCATTTAGGAGAGCCAATACCTGTTCAGGTCTCGATGTATGATTGGCTGTGTCAAGCTGTGCAGGTACTCCATGCCCTTGGCAACATCTACAGCAATAATTAGTTTGGACTGCAAGTCAAGAATTCTAGAACAGAAAATAGAGTGAATGGACATAAACTGGTTGAAGGCAACTCTCAGCAAGCCTCTCAAAGAAAACAGCCCAGGATTGTTATTCTCTGTAACTCTAATTTTTTAATCATTGAAGATGGAGCTAAAAAAATTTCAGCCTGGCAAACAGCTTTCCACAGTTGGGAGCTGCTTAAGTAAATGTCAGTTCAGATATTTGTTTAAAAATATAATATTTGAAAAACAAACAATGCTCAATTTTCTAATTTATTTGTCATACAAAAATTCATGATAATAGTGCACAAATGGAATGCTCTGGAGACCCTGTGGGAAACCGCGTTCATGTTACTATCTGTAGAGATCTAGAACAGGAGCTCAGGTTAGATACGGACAATAGCATTCTTTTTCTTTAAAAAACAAAACAAAACAAAACAAAACCAAAAAAACTTTCTCCTATCAGTCCTGTGACCCTGGATGGTTATTTTAGTCTGAACACACACACACACACACACACACACACACACACACACACACACACACTTTCTTGATGTGTCAAGGTCAGCCTATTTATAAGCTTCATTTAGCAACTTAAATTCCTGGGATCTGTCACCTTTGACTTCCTGTTAAGAAATTACTTTACTTCTTGAAATGTAATTATTATTCATAAATTATCAGCTGTGTTTAAAATGCCACACATGTTAGCACTCAGAAGACCCAGGTTCCCTGATCAGAAATCCCTGGAGATGCTCAGTTCAAGGGGACTGAAGCAGACCCAATCAATACCTCTTCTGTTCATGAAGGAGAGAGTACAGGGAACCTCCAGATATGTACTGTGTCACTATGGCAAACTGGCTGGGGTCATCCAGGCAGGCTCCCACAAACTGAACCACGCAAGGGTGGTTGAGCTGGCAGAGGATGGACACCTCTCGGCAAAACATATCCACGTCTGACTTGGAGCAGTAGGTGTTGGCTCGGTATCTACAAGAGTGGGGAGCACGTTCTCGTCAACATCAGCTTCCAGGGGGGCTGCCCCTGCTCTTCCCAGCCCACGAAGCAGACTTCTTTCATGAGCTTGCTTACCGTTTGATTGCCACGATTTTATTCCTGCATCGCCCTTTATAGACTTTTCCAAAAGAACCTGAAATGATTGAAGAGAATGTTTGCTACAGTAGATAGAGATTGTGAAGCTGTAGCAGAGCTCTGGTTTCTTAGCTTACCTGAGCCGATAATCTCGTGGAACTCAATTTCAGAGAGCTGAAGATGGAGGCGGGAGGGCAATCCAGCCCTCAGGAGGAGGACATCGGCTTTCTCTGCGAACAGTAATTGCCTTTTTACTCGAGGATGTGGTGTGCACGCGTGGATCTGAATACGCGATGGACTTGCTCAGCAGCAGCAGGTGCTTGCCACAGCAACTTCCTCCCGATTGCGACGCATCGCCTGGAGATGCTAAGACCCAAGCACGCGTGGCCCCAGGGCCTGGACTACCAGAGCCGCGTTCTTCATCTCAGGCACTCAATCTTTGTGATAAAGACTGAGCTTACTGCCCACCTGATCTTCGGTTAACGTGGCCAAAGGACACAGCCACTCTCCACTATGATTACATCACACCCTGAGAAACCCAATCAATCCCGCCAACCTACATCAATAAGATAGTCAAATACCTATTGATAAACTAAACCTTTCGGGGATGCCCATTAAATGGCAGGTAATAAGCATAGGAATCAGTCTGAGGAAATACTCCACACCAAAAAGGACCTTTTAAACTATAGGTTCCAAGTGGTTATATATTAATTCTTCATGGAATTGTGTTTTATACTCTCCTGGTTTGGTGATGTTAATTTCAATATTCTCCATGAATTCGAAAAAGTACCAGAGTGTCCCTTATTTGAGAGATTTAAGATAATAATTTTCTAATTTGAATATTTTATAAAGTAAATACATTTTCAATTCTTGTAACATATTAATACTTATAATTAATGCTTTGTTCAAAACATAAACATCTAAATAGTGCTATGTGACTTCCAGCTTTCTTTAGTATCCATGAATGTTCTGCTGCTGCTGCTGTGTGGACTGCAGAGCATAGAAACAGGCTGATTGTAAGAAGGATGGGCTACAGCCAGCCATTGCCTAGACAGGTGAAGTGCTCATCACTCACAACAAAACAAGACATGCCACTGCCATATTTAGGCAATCACCACACCTTGATACGTACCTTTTGTCATGCTTTTAATCTTGCCCAAGGGGGACGGAACAGGTACATAGGAGCCATCTAGAATCAAACGACACAGAGGCATTGAAGGCAGCAATCACCCCTTTCTTCTTGAAGTTCAGTGTTATAAAATTGAAGCATACAATGGAGTCAAAGTGCACTAGCTTCGGGTTCAGATCTCCTGGGTAGGAAGCTGTGCTGGGCATGTTTGTCTAGAATCTGCTGGAAAGGATTCTAGTTCTGTTTTAGAAGACTCCCGCAGATGTAATCTGTGTCTCATTCCTTGTCTTAGTAAATTATTGACATGGAAAGTGACTGTTGTCTTCTTTTCCCTGGACTTTCAGTTCCATGCCTGCTCAGTCCAAGGAACACTGAGCTTGAAGAAACTATAGGTTGATGGTTGTAGCTATTCTCGTGTAGCCTCGCCCAGATATGAGTCTTTTCTCATTTGGATACATCCTCCTTCCTCAAATCACAGGGACAGTAACATCAACCCATATCTACCATTGCATTCAATATTGTACAACAGCGAAAACATAATAGTAAAGAGCAGTACCTCCCCCAGGCTGGGAATATTCATTACATGGCAGCTCATCCTGGGATCTCTTATAGTGTTTCAGGAGTGTGACAATGGCATCGTGTCCTTCATGAAAAGAAAGAGAATGCGTCTTAATTTTGTCTTGGTTTATTCAGCACCACTCCCAAAATAATATTTGTAACCTAAGTTACTCCTGAGGGCATAATACATTACAATATGGACTTAATACTTCATTCATGACCTGTTGAGAATCTCCCGATAGTTTATGGTGGGGTTGCAGGGACATAATCACCCATGATTCTGCTCCTATTTGTAAGAGGACTGCAAGGAGTTGAGCAAATAACTGTAGGAACGTTGAGACAAATGAACACTTCAAAGTGAGCTTATATGAGATGGTGCAAGGGTACATGGTTAGGACATGATTAAATGTCTGAAACACACTAAGGTAACTGAGGGAAAGGGGCACAAGCTGTGACTGGACATGGCAACGCCAGTAACCCAGCTCTAAGATAATGACACAGGTTCCTGTGGTGGAGACAAAAAGCTGCACATGAACATCTGCATGCCTCTTTCACAGTGAGTCTGTCATTAGAAATGGCTGCCTACCCTGGGATCTCTCTATCCATCTTCCAACTGAGCTTTGGACATAGTCACTGGGAACACCGGAAGCTCTTACTCCCTCAATGCCAGCTGCATGCCCAGGGCTCTAAGGTGTGAGGGGTTGTGAATCTCTTCTCCCTCACCCTTGACACCAGCGCCAGAATGCCATATGATTGAGAGACACATTTCAGCTATAAGCTACCACCAGCAGCGTTCCGGGCTCATCTACTGTGCCAACACTTATTCTTGCAAAAGATGAAGAATGTTAAATGCTTTTCAGCGAACACCATTGATTTTCAATGGAATTAAACCTTGACACTATTGTAAGCTTTCCCTATGAAAATAATCTACTGAAGCTGATTTGTAAAAGAGGAAAACATTCGACCTTAAAGATCTTGCCCAGAGCGTTGTGAAATGCTATCGAACCCGCTGTAAAAATGGCCACCTTTAGAAACTGCATAAATATTTTCCTATTACAGATACCTGAAAGTTACTATTGACTTTCCACATACCAGCTCACATGTAGAGTGCCCACAGTAGATAGAGCTCGCTTATCAAGTTTTCCCATTAGAAGAGCCCAGTGAATAGTAGTGTATGTAAGGACACGGAATAGTGAACACATTTACTAACACCGGGCATTCTCCTGAAGGTAACATTCTTGACCCAGACTCCTTAAAGGAAACAAACAACGATGTATACAATTAATGAAATGTGTAAGTAAGTCTATGTATTAACTATCTAGAAGTTAGCAACTAGGGTCTACTTTATTATTATTATTATTATCTTTAGTTCTCTGTTTATAAATAATGAACCTTGTGTGTTCCCAAACCACAGATACAAGCTATGGTGAAACTGTGAGGACCATTCCTAGTTATTATTGCTTGTTTGCTTGGACATGTGTGACAGGAATCAGAGAAACCTCAGAGCCTGAATGATTCTAGCCAAGAGGCACATTTCTAGTGAAGAGTCCAATAGGAAGGGGCAATACATAACACAAAAGTTCTGATCAGGGAGTGACCATGATATGACCATGACCATGACCTGTTCACAACTGAAGGAGGCAGGGCCGAGGTGGAAAGGGAACTGCATTGGACAGGTGAGGAGACATAAGAACAAAACAGCCCTAACCCCCAGTCTATCAGAATGTGTCACACAGAGCATGAAGTGAGCACGGATTCCCCAGAGACTATGAGAGAAAAGCGATGTGGTAGGACATGGTCGGTGGCTTTCTAATGCGCTCCTTGGTGGTGCTGGTGAGAGGCTTGCACTTAGTGGACCACCTAATACAGCGCTTACAAAGGCAGGATCACTGTGGGTCATCTTCAAAACAGCTAGTTCCCACAGTCCCATGCCTGTGGAATGCTATGCTTTACTTTGCTTAAAAAGAAAAACAGGCCAGCCTGTAAGAAACCAAGTAGGCCACCCAAAGACACTCTTCTGTCTTGCTGTTCCCCAGACCCCAACCACCCTCTCCATATCTGTTCAATATAGTACTTGAAGTTTTAACTAGATTGATAAGACAATTGAAGATATCAATGGGATACAATTGGTACACAAGAGGTCAAAGTGTCATTATTTATAGATGATATAATAGCATATATAAATTACCCTAAAAATCATCAGAGATGTTATGTGTGATAAATACTTACTTGCAGAAAAGTGTCTCGACACAGGATTAAATAAAAACAAAAAACAGTAGCCCTCCTATATACAAATGACAGACTTTGAAAGAGATTGGGGGAAGCAATACCTTTCAGAATAGCCTCTAGTAACATATCTTGGGAGCAACCCTAACCAATAAAGTAAAAGACTTGTATGATACAAACTTAAAGTCTTTGAAGAAAGAACGTAAAGAAGTTAGCAGATGATAGAAAGATCTCCCATGCTTATGGATTGATCAGCTTAACATAGTAAAAATGGGGCCATCCCACCAAAAGCAATTTATAGATCCAATGAAATGCCTATAAAAAAAAAATCCTGATGCAATTCTTTGCAGACTTTTAGAAGACAATTCTCAGTTTCATATGAAAAAAACCCAAAAACCTGGAATAGCTAAAACAATTCTGAAGAATAAAAGAAATGTTGGCAGTTTTACCTCTCTCTATTTTGAATTGTATGACATTGTTATGGTAATAAAACTACACGGTGTTGGCATAAAAACAGACACATTGTTCAGTGGAATAGAATTGAAGACCCAGGCATAAAGCCACACACATATGGATACCTAAATTTTGAAAAGCCAGAATAAACACTAGAAAAAAGATGGCAACTTCAACAAATGGTGCATGTTCAAACTGGGTGTCTGCATGTAAAAGAATGCAAACGTATCCATACTTATCACCCTGCACAAAACTCAAGTCCAACAGGACCAAAGACCTCCACATAAAACCAGATATTGAATGCAACAGAAAGGGGAAGTGAGAAGTAGCCTTGTACTCATTGGCACAGGAGATTACTTTCTGTACGGATCACCAATAGCACAGACACTGAGATCAACAGTTAATAAATGGTGCCTCCTGAAACTGAAAAGCTTCAGTAAGGCAAAGGATAGCATCACTTGGACAAAGTGGCTGTACATAGAATGTGAAAAGGTTTATTATTTTTTTTTACCAACTCTACATATCATATAGGACTAATATCCAAAATATGAAGAAAAAAAAACCCTCAAGAAGCTGATGCCAAAAATAACCAATTAAAAATCAGGTACAGCTCTATACTGTAAATTCACAGTGGAGGAAACTCAGATGGCTGAGAAACATTTAAAGACATCACTTAAAGACATGTTCAACCTCCTTAGCCATCAGAGAAATACAAATCAATACTACTTTGAGACCCCATCTTTCACCTGTCAGAAGGGCTAAGATCAATCGCATAGACGGCAGCTCATGTCACCGAGGACGTGGAATAAGTGGACCACTCATTCATTGCTACTGGAAGTTCCAACCCTACTGACAATACTTGAAAATGTATCCAGGTAGTGGTGGTGCACACTTTTAAGGCCAGCCCTCAGAGAGACAGAGGCAGGTGGACCTCTGTCAGCTTAAGGTCATCCTGGCAGCCTGGTCTATAGAGTGAGTTCCAGCATAGCCAGGGTTACTTAGTGAAACCATATCTCAAAAAAGCCAGAGAGGAAAAAGAGATATAAGATTTCTGAAATTCTGTAAATTGTACTTTCAGTACTGTTCAGTAATATACTTCATATTGGCTTGCCAAAATTAATCTTGATATGAGATTTATTTTTAATTGGATAAATTTTATAATATATATGTGTATCGGTATAGAATAAAATATAAATGCAATTTGGCATGGGAAAAGAGAGTTTTCACTTGTTGCAATCCTATTTCTCTCTCCAAACTTCCTTGGTTATCTGTGCATTCAGCGACCTACCCTAAAATGCACCTCACAGACCAAGGCAAGGGAAACATTTCTGCATGCTTTCTTTTAATAGGTTTACAACTTTGTGTCTTTTGAATCTTGAGCCCATGTTGAGTTGCATTCTGCTCATGGCATAAAAATAGAGGTTCATTTTAAACTATCCACATGTTAAAGAAAAAGATCTTAATATTTAGTTTAGAAAATAACAAAACATCTGTGTAAGACTGGCATAAAGATTAAGCAACTCAGTGTGGGGTAGGGGGATAGTTGGGTCCGTACAGCTTTCTTCACCAGCGTGAAACCTGAGTTTGGAAAATGAGTACGTGGGTAAAGAGGCATTCATGCATCAATACTGTCAGGTCTGGGGAAAAGGAGGCATGCTCATGGTGTTCCTTGACAAGCCCAAATGTACTCAATTTCCCTACCTTTTCTTTCTGCTTGTACCCATAATGCCCAGCTTGAGGCCTGCCCCCCCTCCCTGAGCCACAGAACTGCCAGTGTAGCTCGGTCCTCTTCATACTCCCGTGAGCCCACTTCCACTGGTTCAGTGGTTTAAGGCACTTTAAGGTTAAAGTTGTCTTGTAGCAAGTAGCAAGCCTGCTTGCGGCCCAGGTCCCCATCCTCATGTGTCCCTGAAGAACTTCCTTCCTCCCCATCCAGATGATACGGTGTCCAGCATAAGTGTCCCTTCCTTGCCATCATCCCTTTAGCTTCAGGACGTAAGAAGGACCATGATAACATAATAATGTGTTGGAATGTGTTGTCCCTGGTCAGTGAAAAATGGTTGGGCAGAGTTACAATCTATGGCCTTGGGGGAGAAGGTATGCTGTTAGGGGTGGGCTCTGAGGCTTCAAAGGCATCTGCCAGGTTGTCTCTCTGAGCTCTCAACCACTGCTCCAGAACTACGCCTGCCTACCCTCTGCCACACTCCCTGCCATGACGATAATAGATTATTAACCCTCTGAAACTGTAAGCAAGCTCCTAATTAAATGCTTCCTTTATACGTTTCTTTTGTTATAGCATCCATTCACATCAATGGAACAGCAACTATCACAGTGCATTTGGAATTACATCATCCTTCAACTGTCCCTCACTACATTCATAGGTTCCCAGCTTTGTCTTTGACCCCG